ATAGATAAGGCATTGACCCACTTCGTGCTTACCATGCATCATGCCTTATATGATGCGTACACGTTGTCTCTCATATGGGCTGATGTCAAAGAGGCTTGGAGCGCAAACGGTGAAGTCGCAGGAGCCGTACCGAGACCATCGTACAATCGGTTCATCGGCTATCTCCAAAAGCCTCCATCAGATGGCATTTCTGATCGCTGGACACAGCCGTCCCAGTCGACGAAGGATGATGAAGAGACCAGAGAGTGGCCTAATGCGACACAGGTGACTGGCGGTGTGTTTCCAATCCACACTCCTCTTCCCGAGTCTGGAAATGTGCGCCACACTGCAGTGATCAAGGCTGCATGGGCCTGCACACTCATGGAGGCTTTAAAGACGAACGATATTGTGTTCCCGGATTATTTCACCGGACGATGTTGCCCTATGCCTGGTATTCTAGACATCGCCGGTCCAACGATTTGCGCGTATCCCTTCCGTGTTCAGAGCAAACGGGATGTCGAGTTGTCGCAAGTGCTTACGGAGGTGCAGGGCGAGATTACCGACATTTTGAAAAGGGAACACTAGGGCGACCTCAGCCCAAATGCGAGCGCATATACACCAACGTCTGGTCAATACGGATTGAACGTAGTCAACGTCTTCCAAGACGCCGACGACAAGCAGGAAAACATGTGGCTGAATGGACTGGAACCGGTCGCAGGCCAATTCGCGTTCCGGGGTGGATGGGACTGCATGACGCGTGTCATCATGCAGAAGCACCAGATTATCTGGACATTTTTTGCAGACAACAGTCGCCTTAGAGACGAGGTCAGCGGACACATTAGTGCTAGATTCCCAGAGTTGCTAAAACTTTTTCGGATCCCAAGAATCAAGGGCGAAAGATGACAGATTTAATAAATATTTGATCGAATGGACAAGTTTGTATAGTATCTCCGGTAGCCTGAATAGTACCTGATAACGTGCCGCTTGTGTTTGCTGGGCTGTGCAGGTCACGGTCTGCCGAGAACCGAGAGCACAAGCAATGTCGCTTGAGATGTTGTTACATGGCTGCGGCGAATGAGCCACAAGCCACGATTGTGCCGACGGGTGGGGGCCAGGGGCAGTGGAAGAGAGAGAGAGAGGGATCAACTCTTCGTATCTTAATATATGCGGGGAAGCCCTCCTAAGACTTCCTCGACCTTTCCACCTCAACAACCGAAAAGGAATCACCATAAATATCAGTGACCTACCTTTTGTCGGCGACCAACACTGTCATGACGTTAGACTCACACGCCACGCTGGGCATTGTCCTGACGGCTATCTATCTTCCCATTGCACCACTTGCCATCCGCCTGATGTGGCGCAACCGTCGCTATCATCCACGCATGGCATGGTGGCCGACCATATCTCTTTCTCTGAGTATGCACTTGTCGTGGTAGGTAATGTTGGCTTTACTAACTGTCAGCAGTGCGTCTTGGAGCCGGCCCATTATTGATCGCACGCCAATATAACCCGACCAGCATCGGTCTGATCGTTGCTACTCTTGTACTTTTGAACGTCGGATCCATATCTCTCATCGCCATCAATTTAGGATTCGTCCGTGCAATGTGCGTCGAATCATGTCTACGATATGGCACTCAAACTTACTGGCACTTTCTCCGCTGACCAGCGTCCCCATAGCTACGTTGACAACCACGATGATACGCCGAGGAGTCGGATGATCGATGCCTTCTTGCGCACCAGCATTTTCCCTGCCATCTCTCTGCTCTCAGCCGGTGCAGGACTCTCGGCTTCTCTTCCACATATCGGCAAGATTCTCACCCTCATTGGGTACATCATCTTTGCTCTGCTGCTATTATGCCTTGTCGGCGCCGAAATCATGTTCTGGACTCGAAGGTCCTCATTAAGAGACCACAGTGTACTGGTGAGTATTGTTCGGGGATGTCGAATGACTCGGACATGTTCCTGATTGTATGCAGATGCTAAAGGGCGCCCTTGTCGCCGCTCTGTTTGTCGTCGCTCGTGACGTGTACGGACTTCTCGAAGTAGCAACCTCATCTTCATTGGATTCAATATGGAGTCCAATCACCGGCAATGTTCTCGCCATAGCTCTGTTTGGCTTGCTTACAGAGGTGAGTAGCCTTTTCAAGTCGACAAACAGCAATGACCTTTCTAACTTCTAACAGTTCATCCTCTTTGCATATACCTGTACGTGGGATATTCGATGCCTCCAGACAGAAACATGCACCAGATCAAGTGAGTCGTTGAAGCCGTTGCCCGGAGCACGGGTACAAATCGCTGCACATGTCTCGATTTAGTACTCATGCCTCAGTTACTGTAGACCGTCGGCAAATACTGTCCCCAGCGCATAAGCATGTAGCTGGAGCTGAACTCATCATATGAAGCTCAGGATAGTCCGAGTGAGACAGCAAGGGTCCGCGACGATCGTGCGGACACTTAGGCTGCTCCTAAGATTGTAGGTAAAGGTGCAAGGTTTCGAGCACCATGGGAAAAGGGGGCGATCTGGAAGCGATTCGTGCTTTGGAGAAGTCTTTGTTCGATGGTCATCAGCAATTCTCCGAGATAGCACGGCGTCAATGGTGCTGCACAATTGACTCAGGCCATGAGTGAGCAAATGTGCAGTTGAAAAAGCCCTTATTGGAATGGAAAGACCTTGTAAACCTGGACAATATACTTCAATATCTCATCTAGTGTTCACATCAAGTCGCCTTTGTTCAACCCGCCGCCTTGCACGTCGCACAACTAGTGATCCATATGTTTGGAATATCATTCAAGAGCTGCCTTGTATATAGCTAGTTGCATCTGTATCGATGGTCTAAGAGTCTAAAAGGCGTGTGTATGAAAGGTTCGTATGGTAACCACTTGGACGCTCGATTGTCGTGCGATACAATTTAAGGCCGGAGCAGGATCAACCCCTGGATAGTGGTCTGTCTGGTGATCGAAGAAGAAAGATGTCACAAAGAACTTTAACCGACCAGCTTTCCTCCTTCCTTCCCCCTCCTCCCCTCCCTCCTACACATTCTCCCTACGCTGCCCTGTGTATGTCTGTCTTTTCTCATCCTCAAGGCGGCGAAGTTGTGTGCTCCATGGTGTTGGGAACTCGTGAAGGAGCGGCTGGATATGAGTTGCCCTGTGGAGATGTGGTCGGCCTAGGCGGTTGGCTGCCATTGGGATAGGTTCTATTCTCTTGTTCTCTCGCCTGCTTGTTTTCCTTCATCGTTTTGTACATCATGTACCAGCACATGTTTACGGTTCTAGACGTATGTGTTGACAGGTGCTGAAGATGATGATGATGATAATAGATTCGAGGTCAAAAACAGATAGGAGATGTTATTGATGATGTGGTGGAAGGCGAAGAGAGCCGCCTGCTTTTAGGCCTCTGAGGATGGAAGAGATGGTAAGCAGTGAATTTGCGTGAAGCTCGCCATCAGTGCTGTGAATCACATGTTTACATAGGTCTAGGTGAACCGTAGGTCTTAGCACCGCGCGTCATTAACAACAACCGTCGTTGCAAAGCTCCGCGCCACTAATGCATGATCCCTGCTTCAAGAGTCTTGTATGCGGCTTCCGACTCCCGACTCAAGCTTTTCTGGACAGAAGCTTGTGCAGGGTTACCGCCGTTATCCGTCGCACCGTTTCACCCGCTTGGGATTAGTGCGCCGACCGGGTATACCGCCATTCCTCGCAGCCCCCACACCGTGAGTGTCTGACGTTTTCTACTCGAGTCTCCTGCAACCCGCTGTCGACGATCCTGTTCCAACACACTTCCGCCTCTAGCGATGACTATCATCTGAGAAAATGCGCCCGAAGACACGCTGGAACGGGAGGTGGGAGAGATCATGGACTCGAAACCGGTGAAGCTGCTGGGCACATCATCGAAAGGTTCTGTATTAGTGTTAGCGCTAGCGAGTCGAAGTGTGTCCACGCGGAGGACATTCGCGATGGCCGAAATTTACTCCATACGAGCGTGGCTGCATCGTACAGGCGTGCGAGAACGGCCGTACGCTCGAGAACGGCCGTATGCTCGAGAACATCGCCGATCAGTTCCAACGCGCTCCATCCAGCATCTCTCGTACAGTACAATCCAATCCACGGCCCCTCTCGACGATGATCGTACTCCTAAGGCAGCAGCATGGATATACGCTACGCTTACATTGGATGAGGTTACATTGGATGAGGAGGACACCAGCATTAGCGGCCCCGACACTGATGAATACACCTGATGGTGCGTCGAAGGGCGTGTCCGTCGAAAGGCGTGTCCCCAACGTCTACCAACCCCTTGAGATTCTGGTCCAAGCCACGCATCAAACACTCCTGTCCTAGACTCTCTCGTATGGCCCGCAATCTGTTCACAATACCAGCCATGTCTGACGAACCAGAGCAGGTCTTCTCAAGCTGCGAGAACATGGTAAAAGTGCAAAAAGAACAATTGGTCGTCACGACTGAGGCTCTAATGGTGGTCTCTGCTCTATACCAGTCCATTATCCATGGTCTACTCTAGAGCTGCGTCCTTTCATCAAACCTGTCTGTTGGTTCTGCAATCTGATTTGTCGGTACAATAGCCTGTTGAATACTACTGTACTCTGCTTAGCTACCCTTTGCACCGTACACCCGACCCGCCCTCGTGACAGGACTCGATAGTCTCTTACTTAGAATGACTACGACATATGTTACGACGCACCAAACACAGCGAGATCGCATCAGAAGTACGGAAACAAGTACTCGTACGAGCAACTGACGTTACTTTCCCCACAGACGTTATGCTATTCGTCCGGCTAGTAGCTTCTCTCTATCTCTCTACGAATAGATATCCGATGCATGCCGTGTTCTCGAAGCAAAAGCTGCCTTAAAGCTCCACGAGCTACTCCTACACCTGAGTCTTTGGCAACGCAAGGGGTATTCTACTAAAGGCCCCCGGCAGGATTGTCTTGGAGTCGTCGATTCTCTTGCTCCACTCCCTCATTGGTCCAACCTGTTCTGATGCAGGTGGAGAGTCTTGTCCATTATGGAACATCGTTGGTGTCGAAGGACGTCACGATGCAGCGCATCTGGTCAAAATGCTCGTTGCGAGCTGCCTTACGGGAGAACTTTCTACCGCAGCGACTGCAGGAGATCTTGTGTGTACGCTTCTCCTTGCAGTGCCTGCGATAGTTGCTGAGACTTGAAAAGGTACGTCCACCACAGCCGTGTAACCAACAACGAATTGGGTCCTTTGGGCTTCGAGTCGGACCCCAAGTCGCGGAGGGATGTGCGCCAGCTGCAGGGTATGTGTTTCCCTCATGGTCATTCAGAGTAACAGGCTGTGGTCTGTCGAGGAGATTGATCTCCTGGTTGGTGCATGGGTCAAGATCTGCCGTCGGATGCCCGCCGGGTGCATCGAAAATACCAGTGTCGCCTGCTGGTAGAGATGTGTCGTAGGTCAATGTGTCGTAGGTCAATGTGTCTTCTCCGAACAGATTCGTGGTAACAGATGACGTAGAGACCTGCGACTGCTGGTCTGGAAACAGCAAGTTCAACAGCCTGTCTTCCTCCTCGACTGACAAACTCGCATTGTCTGATTGCCAAGGGCGGTCAAAAGAGGCCGGCTGTGTAGCATATGTCCTGTCAGGCTCGTTCATGGGTGACATATGTGGGCTCAAGGGCGACATATGTGGGCTCAAGGGCTTGAGAGCTCGATGCTTGCTCTTTAATAGCAAGTTTGAGCAGCGCATAGGAACATGCGCGTTCACAGTGAGCCCCTCAATCCTTCTCAATCAATCTTGATCAACCGGTCCTTTTCAGCCATCCTTCTCAATCAACTCCTTGAGGCCCCATATTCCGTTCGTAGTGTTTGTAGGATTGGAGCTGGAGCTGTCGCAAGCGAGCCCCGGAGGTCTACGCTAGATCCAGTTCGAGTGACGTTGAAGCATCTCCGCAAAGCTTGAGGTACCTTGGCATGCTAGCGCCGACACTAATGTAGGACCTTTCGGTGCTGTGCCCGGCAGCTTCACCGGTTTCGAGTCTAAGATGCCTAAGATGGCACGGCAACATCCACCAAAACACTCCACATCATGAATCGCCTGATGGCTGCTGCCGGACAGCCCCTAGAGATTGTTCTCGATCATCTTTGCGACCCATCTGCCTTTGGTTCTCAAGCATATCGGCTATCGGCACCGGCTATGGCTGTGCATTAACACGTGTTTCTAGTTGTTTGGCTTGACCAATGACGATCTGCCTCAGAACCCAGTAAGATAATTTATTGCTAGTCTTCGTATTCTCAAATTGCAAAACAATCCTACGTGTTTGTGAAGGAGCCATGTCATTCGTGTCATATCAGCCACAAACTCTAAATTCAGGACCTGAGAGGGATCTGCAGCCGGATATATGGTCATGTCGCATTACAAGCAGACGTTGGAGCTTGTTGAGTCAAAGCGGGACCGTCGGACCCTTGAAGAAGTAAGCGACTCGCTTCTGTCTTCGCCATTGCTTAAGGTCGTTTACCTTCCCAAGAATAATTCCCGATCTTCTTCGTGCTAGCCGCGTGAGCCTTAATCATGGAACTACGATCCACAGACCTTTCCGATCAGGAAAGAGGTTGGTGTTGGTAGATGCGCTGTCCGAACCGCATGCAAAGATGACAGGAGAGTAGCGTTACGTCGACTGGTGCGGACTTTCTGCACTGAACCAAGACTGTAAAAGTTCATCATACCAGACAGACTAGCTTTTGACTGATATCCAAGCTTTCTAAAGGCACATAAAATGTAAGTAGAGGGCTCCTGGGGTCATCAGAGACGGTCATCAGCAGTCATCAGCAGTCATCAGCAGTCATCAGCAGTCATCAGCAGTCATCGGCAGTCATCAAAAGTCATCAATTGACATAGTGAAGATCTCGATCACATGCTGCAAGGATGCCAAAACGAGAAATGCTCACCACATGGACGTCGATTCTGTTGCGTTGTCGGCTGAGAATTATTAAGTCCAGCGAGAGCGAGGCTGCAGGGCAGCAAGTCCAAGAGGTCGGAGAGTCCGAGACTCCAAAGTCAAGATATGCCGTCATAGCAAGGTCACTCATACCTCTAACCAAAGCGACTGTTACCGAGATCTGCCACAACGATGCAGTGAAGGACGAGGCAGTATTCGCAGATGTCGACTTTGCCACCAACTCTAAGCCCGATGTGACTCTGCAAAGAACTTGGCGCGCTCTGAGTATCGATGGAGTTCAGCAGATATGCATTCAAGGGAAGAACCCCTTACGAGACAAGCTGTTGTCCCTACAAGGAGATTTTGACTTCCTTAGAGAAGTTCTTGCGGTACCACGTTGTCAGACGCAGTCTCCATCAGCGATGACGAGGAAAGCAACCAGGAGATCAGAGATAGCTGCGAGTCTGCTACAGGAACTCCTCACCATCGTAGAGAGACCTGTTGCAAACCCTGCCAAAGTATTCAGGAAGAGATCTCGGCGGATCGGCTTCGTTCCCTCTTACACAGTCCTATCCCACCTACAACAGAATGCCCTATCTAAGGCCCAGACCTGAGCAGTCTAACACTCTTTCCAACCAAGTATCATTGGTTCATAGCGCCATGTGATCGGAACCTAGAGGGTAGAGTGATGGCCTACATGTCCAAAGGAGAGGTCAGACGACGATGTGAATCAGACGTGATACTCGGCGAAGGAAAATATCGCGCGATCTCCAAAGCTATTTAGCTCCTCTACCACCCATATCCGCAGGCGGTGCCGTACATATTCGATATGTCTATCCATGACGTTGTTAGTATGCAAGACCCGCTCCCGAGAGACTCATTCTCGATCCAAGAGCACCGCCTAGTATTGGACCAACTGCAGCAGCGACAGACCACGCAGTTGACGTAGAGTTGAAGTACAATGCACGCTCCCAGAGTCATATTTAGCTATTGTCGGTGTACAGAACGTCGAAAACGCGCCTCTTACCGTAGAGATCTTGAGAGGATAACAAAGACAAGATTCGAAAAACCTCCGCCCAGAAAACATCTTGTAATGCTCTTCCCACTATCAAAATGGTGATGTGGATAGCAAGGCTATTTACTAAATAACCGAGGAAGAACAGAGCAACCATGAAAAGTATGATGGGCCTGCGTTCCCAAATGTCCGAGATTTTTACTACGACAGGTCCCCGAGTGGCAGTAGCCAAGAGTCAGGCTCCGGCGATCTAAGCGAGTCCAGCACCAGAGCGCAGTCGTGTTGTGATGGTCGGGATTGCTGTTAAGAGAACAATCTCATCCAAGGCAGCAACGAAAAGTGATGATCTGAGCGCCGACAAGTCGGCCTATCTGGAGAGCCTGCTCTGCGGCTCGCGCCCTTCCACTTCAATCTCCCAGGTCTTTTCACCCTCGGATATGGATGGGTCATCATTGTTCTTCGACGTCTCCGCTACGGGTTCGATCGATGTTGTGGAGATGGCGATGAATTCGGGGTCATCCATTGATGCTGTCGAAGAATCTTGGCAAGATGAGAGGTCAAGAAGAGTACAGTATCGCTTAATCTTTGAACTGGTTTCATTCCTGACCGGTGTAATCGTCCGCTTGGGAATAACTGACCACGTGCATGGCAAGTATAAATGTATTCTCACTATCACGACAGGCGGATGAGAGTGGCACTGGACTAGCGTTGAGTACAAGATGTTGGTAAGAAAACCCGAGAAGGATTCACCCGCGCAAAACATACTCTCCATGTTTACGATTGGGGCATGACAGGTGAGAGCAGGCCTAGCTGGTGCCGTACCAAGCTAACGATGCTGGCTAGATTGTCAGTGACTGGTGACTTTTTTGAGTTTCAGACTCCCAAACCGTTCTGCGACTGCTGGTCATATGGCTCCAAGTGTTGTGCAAGGCTGTATCCAGGTGTGAAGCTCGTTAGACTGGTTCAGACTGTTGACGCTAGTTCCTGCACATGCAGGTAAACGCTTCAAACGGCCAATCTCCTCCAATCTATAATCCAGAGTGGAGGTGTTCCTAGCAATGTTTACGCTCGGCAACACTACTCACTCCGCCATGCCTGGTGCGATTAGAGCCGAAGCGATGTAGATTCCCTGACTTCACATGTCTTCGAGGATCAGGCCAAATACGGTCACATCAGCTGATCTGTCCTGATTGTCCACTGTGAGCTCCTACCTCGCCGCTCCTGCGATTGCGGATCGATGTATCATACGAACGCGCTACGTAACGAGGACGGCGAACCACGGGAACCATGGCTAGAGTCTGGCGCATCCCAATGCGTAGAGGTTGCTAAATAGTTCGATATAGCCAGTGTTATCCGACTGATCCTCTGCTGAACGACTGCCTGGATAACACGTGGATCGCTGGACACAATCCATATCATATTCTCTCTATAACAATCAGACGATACATAAATCGAAGACGTCTTGAAGATGATGCAGATAGACATACCTAACTTGCAAGACTACGACATCTCGCCCGACCATGGGTTCCTGCCACCAGAGTCATCTCTAGAGACTAATTTGGACCCATACTACGCCAAGTGGGATCACATCGCCCGAAATCTACAGGGCTTGCAACTATGCAACCGACTACGCCCTGTTGTAAATGAGCTACCCGTCCTGTCTTGCAATCGACTGAATACTCTCTCAGAGCTGAGGAGAGCTTACTCCACGCTTGCTTTTATCTGCCATGCATACATATGGGGCGGCAANCGAGCTAGCAAAGGTGATGAATTGTGCTATCACTATGATTTTATGAATCTCTGACACAAATCCAAGGTTGTTCCGCCTCCCCTCTCGATTCCATTTTTGTTCGTCTGTAAAACTCTAGATCTACCTCCGGTCGCGACCTACGCTGCGGTAGTCCTCTGGAATTTCACGCCGGTCTTCCCACTTGAGGATTATGCTTCTCTCGGAAATCTCACCACATTGTTGACTTTCACTGGTTCAATGGATGAAAGCTGGTTCTATCTTGTATCTGTGGCTGTGGAAGGCCGTGGGGGCCCTCTAATATCTTTGATGCTAGAGAGTATCCGAGCCGTCAGTGAGAATAATTGTCAGCGAGTGGTGGAGACTCTCCAAAACGTCGCGCAAGGCCTGAAAGATATTTCGTGCTTGATGGACCGAATCTATGAAAAATGTGATCCGCACATTTTCTTCCATCATGTAAGGCCGTTTCTTGTGGGGAGCAAGAACATAGGCGAAGCCGGTCTTCCCAAAGGAGTAATTTTCGACGATGGTACAGGAAAATCACAGCCTGTCCAATTTGCTGGAGGTTCGAATGCTCAATCTAGTCTGATCCAGCTCTTCGACATCGTGCTTGGGGTCGATCATCAATATTCCGATGTTCCAGATTCTCGGCATTGTCCTCAGGTTCACCCTACAGACGGAAACCCACAGAAGTTACGTGCCGACCGAAAGTCAGGGACGGCTACCACAACAGCCTTCATACTGGACATGCGCAGCTACATGCCTCGACCTCATCGACTCTTTCTGCTACATGTTGCCCGGATCACTAACATACGACAGTTCGTGCAGAGTCTCCCTGATGAAGTAGATCTTACGGAGTCATATAACTCTTGCCTGCACGAACTGGTCCACCTTCGGAACACCCACCTCAAGATGGTGTCTCGATACATTGTCATCCCGAAGCAGCAAGGTAGGGTGCAAAAGTATCAAGCTATTGGGACCTCGCCCTATTGCACTGAACCTGTCAAATCAGATTCGACCAGCTTATCCGGAGACCTTATCGCCTCGGACGAGTTGTCACACCGTGGCACAGGTGGTACAGAATTGGTGCCATTCTTGAAAAGAGTGCGAGATACAACGGCCAAAACTGCGATCAATACTTGATTTGATCTGATTTGATCTTCTCAAGCTATTTGCTCCGCAAAGGGTATGAGCTGTCCCTAATTAGACTGCTCTTCAACCAATCTCAAATATCGGACTTAGTTACATAAGGAGAGTGAAGGTATCTCAGACCTTGAGCAACTCAAGATGCCTAGTATACCAGTGTGCTTCCAAAGAGTGACTTTATATATCCATTCCTCGAACGTTGGAGGTGGTAGCCTCCTCCATGAAGGCATTTCCTTATGGCGTGTTCTTCCTTATCAGCCGAACACTACTTGGAGGCAGTTGTTGAAGGTAATGATTATGTTATGTTGTTGTGGTGAGTTGATGAACACATCGTGTCAGTCTGCTCTGTCAATCTGTTGTGTTCCCCTGTTCTTCGACACTCATGTCTGCTTTCGAGTCTTCCTGCCTTGATGGCGATATCAATTGTAGCCTTGACCGCGTTTAGGTCTGGTTGCCATTTGCTCGTCCTTTCATCAATCTTCTTTCCATCTTTCTTATGGCTGAATATCCTCCGACTGCATATGAGATGTCCCAGTGACTGTTGCCATGTGCTGGTTTCATGGCTTACCTCTCCTCTTTCCATTCTGGGCATGAGAAAAGGAGTGTGGCACGGTCTCTGCGATACCACGTACGCATTTATCCGTATCTGCTATGTTGATCTGTTGCAGATGTGTGTTTAGTCTTGAGATATTAGTTCTAAGCTAGATAAACATGACTGCTGCTTTTCTTTTGGGAGCATCGTAGATCTTGACTGGGTGTTTGCCTGGCAGTACTTTGTCGATTTGCTGGAGATTTTTTCCTCTAGCTGAACGAGAGAATTATAGAACTCGCTGTGCTCCAGCTCAAAGTCCAGGCTCTTGGCTTTTGCGTATATTGTCGAGATGGAAACTTCGGTTGCGGGATCTGGCATCGGTCTACTGTCCTCAGTCGCTTGTTAGGCAAATGCATTGGCTCTCTCATTGTCTCTGATCCCTTCATGACCAGGGAACCAGTGCAGAGAGTTTGTTACTTTTCTGGTCTTTTCCTGATCTTTAGGACCAATTCTAGACTGTCATTGACCTTTGGCCACTGATAGCTTCTCAGCGCACTCTGGCTGTCTAAGAACACTCTAATTCTCACGCTTCTATGAACATCGTGTGACAAGTTGCTAATGGCGATCCATATGACTTCGAGTCCCGTTAGGTGGACGTTGACTTCATCTGCTCTTCTTGTTGTCCTTGACATCTCCCAGGACAAAAATGTTCCCGATTGCCGCCCGTCCGTTGCGTAAAGAACCTTCGGTGTAGTAGTCGACTGTATCTGCCTCTGTTGCGGTTGCGAATTTGGCTTGGTCTGCGTCGAGTATGTCAACGTGCGTCCTTGGGCTCCACGGTTCACATCGCGCGCCAGGGATCTCCCTGCCCTGTGTACCTTGAGGTCCTAGAAGAGTGCTACTACTTTTTTCAGAGAAGCGAATCGCTTTCTGCGCTTCGTCAAGGCTCGTTTTGCATGAATGTGTGACTTGTCCAGCTTTTAGATCGAGATTCACAACCTTAGCGTCTACTTGTGTAGTCTTTGTTACAGAGATGGAATTCCTGCTTCAATGACTGCCACATTCAGGCCTATGGTTCTGAAGTCTCTCACTATGGCTTAGGCTGCCACTCTTTGGCACTTCCCAAAATTGCAATTGTTGATTCTGCTACTCTTAGGTGCCAGATTGGCGATGCGTAGTCCATTACTGTTGTTACAGTTGCTATAAAAGACTGGCGCATAGTTGATGGGTTGAGACCTTGCAATCTCCTGAGGGCCAACGCTGCTTTTTCCGCCAGATGTTTCTTATACCGCAGTCTCTAATCTAGGGTGACTCCTAGTACTTTGACTGATTGGCTTGGTGATCCCTGGATTCCTTTAAGGCAAAGAGGCATGCCGCTGTCACTCAGTGCATCATTGCGCCTTGTGAAGTGGATGAAGGCTGTCTTCGATGACTCGAAAGACTGCTCCACTCATCTCTCCCAATCTCTCAAGCTCTGGCAGTATTTTTCTCTTAATACTCCTCGTGTTTCTTTTAGCAGAATATTCAATGACCCGTGCGGTGTAAGTTTCAACGTAAGCCATTGATTTCCCTTCCTTCATTGCCATTTGTACTAGGTCCGCGTCAAAGAAGAGAAACAAGATCGGGAAATTGGTGATCCCTGAGGCAGGCCAAATCGCGGGATTTTTTCCACTTCCGACGTAAAACCATCTACCATAACACATACTTTCCTGTCGGTGCAGAAGTCTTGCAGTCACCAGACTATGACCTCCGGGACTCGTCTAGTTCTCATCCTTTCTAGAAGCGGTCCTGTTGCAACATCGTTGTATGGTCCTTTCACGTCGAAGGAAACTAGGGATAGGGTTTTCTTGACTCGCCACGTGTCAAAGATAGACTCCTGGAGGAAGGAAAGGGCATGTGTTGTCGATTTCTGCTTTCTTGCTCCGAAATGGTTATTGGGCAACAGTTTGCGCGTTTCGACCAGGTACGCCAGTCACGTTGCTATCACCGATTCCATTATCTTAGGTTGCGTAGCTAGCAACGATATCGGTCTGTGACTCTTTGGGATGGTGTAGTCGTCCTTGTTTCCCTTCTTGAGCGGGACGATGTTCGCGACTTTCCATTGAGATGGTAGCTTGCCTTGTCTGAGCGATGTCGAGAAGAGTGTGCAGATAGGCTGTTGCAACACTGGCCAGACTGCCCTCCACACTCTAATGGTGAGTCCGTCGCTTCCTGCTGCCTTGTCTGGACTCGCAGCGGACAGCGCTGTTCTGATTTCTCCCGTTGTCAGATCTTTGCTGAAGAGTTGGTCACCAACGGAATCTCCTATGTCTTCGGGTCTTCTCGGGACTGGTTGTTCTGGGGAGAAGCTGTGCAGTAGTTCCTTGACCATGCCGGCTTTGTCCTAAATGGTCTCTTCTTCTCGCCCTTTTATAGAAGTAATCCTGCCGAAGCTGGATTCCTTCCTGAGGTCGAGATATCGAGCTGCCCTCCAGGTGTTCTTCGGCTCTCCTAAGCACTCTGTCCTGTGTTGTTTCTTGCGCTTCTTGATCGCGTGGTGGAAGTCGTGTTTTGCCATCTTTGTTGCAATTTCCAAGTTACTGTCTGGTCTACCCTGCCTTCTTCTTGACCTTGCCAGATCTCGGGATCTTGTGTAGTCGTCCCTCATCGTGGAGCTCCTCTGGCCATCACCTTTCCGCGTATGTTGACGGCTCCGCTTTCGGGCAATGATTTGTATGGCTGTCTGGGTGATTTCCTGGATGTATCTTTGCATCGCTTTGAGATCATTTGTTGGAAATGGACTATGCACAGTTTCTGGCTGATTAAGGCTCTGATTGCTGTCCAGTCTGCTTATTGCAACAAGTATCTCTGGGCCAACGGGTCCTCCGTCCCAGTAGTGTGGCTCTTTTATGAGTATGGCATCAAATTCCCATATGTCTGTATCGTTTTACAAAGCATCCTGAACTCCTGCACTTCTCCAAAGATTTGATTGAAGAATGTTGAGTGTATTAGTCATGACGAGATAAGCCGATGGTTCTCTCCTGTTGTTTCCTGTATTCTGGGCACTTCTTGTATGTTGCTGGATGACTCCGACCACAGTTGTAGCACTTCGGAATACCTTCTTTGCAACTGTTATGGCCTGCTTGCGCGCCACGAACATCTGGTTCTTCCTCCGTCCGCCCCGTTTCGCTGCCCTGAGACAGCGTTTTGAATCTCCTAGCGTCCGCTATACCTCCACCCCTTGTTCCTCCTCGGCCTCTCCGAGCTGGCATCTCGACCCCGCACTGTGGCGGTTCGCTGGAGATTCGAGGGTGTCACCTGGAGACGCTGCTCCAGCTCGTAGTACAATCATGAATGATGAAACCTTCTTCTCCAGGGGAAAATGTTGATCATATTGGTCAGGGTTGGGATAAGTTGCCCCTCCGAAACATTTATGCTAGGGTCATCCTCGCAGGATCAGGCTGACCAATCGGACAGTGGTCGTCCGCGTTGGTTTCGCACCTGAGCAACTTCGATGTACCGAGAACACAATTGCAAAGGCGGCCAGAAGTAGTACAGCTCTCCTATACCTCGGCGAAAGTCGATCACGATTACGAAGGATCTGACCCTGCGATACATGACCCATCTCTGTGAATATGGAGGTCCAAACGTAGTTCTTCCATGCGCTGAACCATGGCGTCAACCTGAACACTTCGATGGTAGTGCTTCTCAAGGTTCCATATCGCAGTTTTCACGAGGGCCATTGCCTTAGCATCTTCGGTCGCTAAACAGACTGCGAATAGAGGCAGAAGCATGTACATAGAGCCGAGCGGGCTGAGATCTTCCACATCTTTGGCTAGGTCGAGTGTTGCTTTAACAAGCTCGTTTCCTTCATCAGCTGGACCATTTTGAACCTTCTTGAGTCCACGAAGCATGCAGTAATAGATAGAACATAGAGTCAAGATGAAGGCGTAATCTCTTACTTTTCGGACTCGCGAGAAGCTCCTTGGGGCCGCTTTCGTATCCAAAAGCTTTTGAGCGCATGCCTAGCAGAGGTCAATGCTAGATATGCTGCCATTACTTCCCGGGTAAGCTCTTGCGTTGCTCGAAGATCACCATAGAGGGATTTCCCACGCTCAATCAGCCTCGGAATGTTGCATATGAAACCCATGAAGCTTCCGGAGGGCGAATCCTTTATAAGAGTGATAACAAGTTTCTCGAACCGGATCGGATCAAGGCGCATGTCTCGAAAAAGAAGACAATGCCCAACCTAGTCCGTCGTTAGCACCATTTAAGCCTAATACTGAGCATACATCATGGGCTTACCACATAGCCTTGCAAAGACCACAAAAGCTGGTGTTCGAATTCACTTTGAGGCTGCAAATGCCCTCGTGCTTGTATAATGTCAGCAGCGCCTCGAGAGTGAATGCTCCAATCTTGGATGGCCCCAGCGTTCAGGTCACGACATATCACTAGTATCGTGGCCGATGCAAGTGAGTGGACA